TATTACTGCATCCACAAGGGTCCCGAGGCTTCCATTGAAACCTAACTGGGGTTTCACACAATTCCCCCGAGCACGCAGGCTCTGTCAACCAGTAGGTCTACCTTTGATCTCCTTCAATACACAGAGAAATAACATTAACATTTTAGATCGTCCTGTAGTCTCTGTCTGTTTTCATCTGTCTTAATTCTTCTCATTATTTTTGCATCATCAGCAATCATTGAGAGGAAAGAGTCTATACCCTCTGGAAGATATTGCATATATCAGAAATAGGATGGGTCCAAGTACAGAGCCCTGTGGGACTCCACTGGTGACATCTTGCCACTCTAATGTTCCCCCCCCCCCTCACAGTTACTTGCTGTTTCCTGTTGCTTAGATACTCCCTTATCCACTGGAGCACCTTACTTTTAACTCCTGCCTGTTTCTCCAACTTTTATAACAGCCTTTTATGGGGCATTGTGTCAAAGGCTTTCTGACAGTCCAAGAAAATGCAGTTTGCCCACCCTTCTCTTTCTTGCCTAATTTTTGTCGCCTGATCATAGAATTTCATTAAGCCTGTGAGGCATGACTTACTATCCCTGAACCATGCTGGTATTCACCTAGTTGTGCTTGCGGGGATTGAGCTCTGCTCTTTCAGCCTGCCTCTCAGCTGTCAATCAACCGTTACTAACTACTGTACTAACAATTTTTTTCCCCTACACACACCCAGGAAGCAGCCCATAACAGCTGTCTAACTCCCAGGTACCTATTTACTGCTAGGTAGTAGGGACATCAAGATGAAAGAAACTCTGCCCATTTGTCTCTGTCTAGTCCGGGAATCGAACTCAAGGCACATGATTAAGAGTCTCGCGCGCTGTCCACACAGCTACCATACCCCCTGTATAAGGTGTGAGGCCAGGGAAGCTACCAAGGAAGCCTTATTCAAAAAGCATGATAAGATTGTACTACTGTACACGAGCCAGGTCAGTTTAGGATGCACTGAAAAATAATAGTGGAGATGAGCAGTGGAAATGAAGGAGAATTTAATTTTAGTACAAATGGCAATACAATTCAATTCAATGTACTGTATAGTATTTTGCTGTGCAGTATACGAGAAGAAAAATGATTAAGGAAAATATGACAGACCTTTACACTCTCCATTTCTTCTGGTCCAGACTTGGAATTGTAGTACCGTGCCTGCAAAGATATAAACTTTGGGGATGCAGTTGCAAATTATATTACAATAAATATTTTCTAGTAATGTAAATATATCAAATAAGATACTGTATACATTATATCAAACTGTTCTTTTTAAATAATTTAGAATGACACTTTAATACAATTAAAGTACATCGGAGCTACAACAGAATGGGTTGAAATAAAATGAAACTCTTAGTGACGTGAAAATAGTTGGCTACCAGAACAAATCCTGGTTATCTGGACCACGGCAACTGTATGACCAGCCGCCTTAATTCCCCAAACCAATTTAGCATAAGCAAGATCAACATGGTATTCTTTTCACATTTTATACTTATGATTTACTAGTGAATGGATGGGAGTTAAATACACATCATGACAGTCAATAATATATATTGTCATATGATACAATGTGGTTCATGATTGTACTGCAATACAAGGACATTATTATAGAGCAATTCCCAAGGACAGGCAAGGCGAGGAGAGATGATGTTCTTATACTCTGGCCAGACAGACTATCTGGTGTGGGTCACCAGTTGCTTTTTATGTGGCCGAGGCAAAGTTACGTGATGCGGCCTGTGAATGTTCAAGGAGTCCCCCTTCCTCTTCGCTGGAGAGTAATACAAAATGCATTTCACTGGTGACCTTGTGTCAGCAACTTCTCCAGCTATGAATGAGACTGTCATTGTGCTACAATATTCCAACCACCAATAACATTAGTGTCTTAAAAAGTAGCATCATTGATTTGATATCTCCTATTTGAAAGGTTTTTGTTATCCACCCTGTCATTTTTCTTGCAATTGAAATAATGTCTTGTGTTCTTTAAAAGTACCAAAAGATCGTTCAACATGATTAATCCTAGACCTTTTAAATTGGTTTTTCTTTCAATAGTTTAATTTGACTGCATTTTATAAATGGGTCCTATTTGAATATCCTATTCTTTTATGCTGATGGTGAGGGAAGGGAAAAGGATGGTTTGTGGAGACCCAAGATGGAGGGGGGGAGGGGGGAGGACAAAAACCAGGTAAAATGTGAAAAAAAAACAAATATCAAAGTATTTTTATGTTTTGTGCAAATTTTTTTGTACAAAAAATTACATTTTTACACGAAAATGTATAATTTATAAGAAAATATTATTTGTATTTTTGCACACAGGCACCTTTGATCATAGCTGCACTTTAGGAGTTAACTTTAATTTTCTATTTCACATGCACTTTACTTTAAATAAAATTATACAATAAACTGTATTATGTTTTGAATTTGTCCATGTCTTTATCAAAGTATCTTTGCTCCTACCTTCTATCTACCAAGTAGTGCTTTCTAGCTTGATAGCATTTCTGATAGGTTATTGGAATACTGTACAGTATCTACAAAATGTTGCTGGCATTTTTGTAGTTGTATTCTATTCAGTAGTGCTAGCACAATTATGTTTAATCGGTACTGGTGGCTTCATAATAGGAACCAGTCAGATGCAAGAGACTTTGCCTTAGACATTTCGAGTTAGGTTAAGCTAAAAGTTATGTTTTAAATCACACACATTCCAAGTTCAAATCAATTATCTTTAACTGTTCTTGTGATATATACATAATACATGTAGTAGTATGCATCCTTCAGTCTCGGGAGACTATGTTGTGCCCTAGTTGTCAATCATGGTGCAGCGTCTGGTGTTACTGATGAGGCCAATCCGAGAGTGGCAGTCCATCCCACACCGAGCACAAACGAAGTTCGATTCTGGTCTGTCTTCCTGGCTACCAGCTTTCCTTCTCTGTCTCTTTGCCTCCGATTCCTTGGCAAGTGACTCCTCGAACTTGGAGAGACCTCTTTGAACAGACTGCCCCCAGGCTGAACGGTCTGCAGCCAGTGTCTCCCATATAGCAAGATCAACGTCCATGGCTTTCAGGTCCCTCTTGCATGTCTTTGTACCGTAGCTGGGGCTTGCCTGTTGGACGCTTTCCCATATACATGTACTGTACTGTAATTGGGTGTGATGCAGAACGTGTTAGCATATCGTTTGCAGATGGTGCAGCTACACTTATCTGTTTTAAAGATATTGTTAAAGGTCTACACCCCACCACCAATGATGTATTAAACCAGTTCTAAAATCTACGGAATAACAACAGTTTCCTCGCACCACCATACTTTAGATTTTAAAGCATTAAACTGATACATAATGAAATTCTCCAAATACATAATGGAGTATATATTCACACAAACATTACAAATTATCATGTCATTAGTATGTGTACAGGGAGTTCTCGCCTTACGAACATTCGCCTTACGAACATTCGCCTTACGAACATTCATCCATACGAATATTCTCCCAGGTCCCCATGTACCCCCCTTAATGCATAAAATCATTGTATTAACTCACTGAAGCGTCCCTTTGAATTTTGAGGCATCACAAACAGCTGTGCAGCAGCCACATGAAGTAGTGTCGTATGGGTGGAGGAGTGTGGTGGGTGGATGCATGGGGGTGTAGGTTTGTGTGGGTGGGTGCATGGGGGTGTAGGTTTGTGTGGGTGGGTGGGTGGGAGTGTGTGAGATACACTCCCACCAATGGCCTTTAGTTCTCAATGACCCACACACATGATTGATAGAGTTTACTGTGTTGGTGGGGTGAGGGCCCTGGGCTGGAGATAGGAGGAGGGTGGGGAGGCATTTACTCGTGAGGTCAATTACAAAATGGTGGACCACCAATACTTTGCACATGTATTTTCGTTTATTCATGAAATTATACCACTTCACTCTTCAAAAACAGCGACCTTTCACAAGCAGGATGACTATCTTTCAAGATAAATAATGATGTGGTCTTTTATATTATATGTCCCAAAAATATTGGTTTTGTGAGGATTTTTGGTGGCCTGGGAACGCATCTCCCACTTAAAGCATTGCACCTGTGGAAAATCTTGATCGGCGTTCTGAACAGATGCTTTAGAAACTGTCTCAAAATGTAACTCGTTTGTAACTGGGGAACTGCCTGTATACCATTACCATGTGTATATTATCACATATCACTATACTGTATATATATATCAGTCCCCATGGTGACATGGTAAGACACTCATCTAGCATTTCGCGAGTGCTTTGTCCTGTGTTCGTATCCTGGTCGATGAGGATTTACTGGGTGTCAATCCTTAACTGTAACCTCTGTTTACCTAACAGTAAAATGGGTACCTGGTTGTTAAATGATTTGGCGGAGTCGTATTCCGGGGAACATAGCATTTTGGGCAGGTCCTTAATCCTATGTGTGCTAGTGGCTGTACAAGAATGTAAGAACTGTTGTACAGTATATATAAATAAATTAATATAAATAAATATCACTCAGACATGACAAAATAAAAATAATCCTACGAAGACCAGAAGATACTCCAACTGGAATGCCAAATTAACACTTAAATGTTCTGGCCCATTGGCACATGCATGACCATAAATATTATGGGCATCACAGGGTTCTGCTCAGTCATGCCTAATACAGTAATTCACTGTCAGGGGACAGGAAGCCAGAGTGTATTCATACACGTTCGGCTTATATCGAGGTCCCCCTCAGGGACTAGTTACTGACCCTGTCCAGGAGCCAGTCAGCCAAGCGGACAGCACGCTGGACTTGTGATCCTGTGGTCCTGGGTTCGATCCCAGGCGCCGGCGAGAAACAATGGGCAGAGTTTCTTTCACCCTATGCCCCTGTTACCTAGCAGTAAAATAGGTACCTGGGTGTTAGTCAGCTGTCACGCGCTGCTTCCTGGGGGTGGACTGGGCCGCGGGGACACTAAAGCCCCGAAATCATCTCAAGATAACCTCAAGAAGGATACAACCCCACAACAAGCAGAGTAACTCCTAGGTACCTACTTGCTGCTAGGTGAACAGAGGCATTGGGAGAAAGGAAATGTGCCCAAGTATTTCTGTACCGCCCGGGATTCGAACTTGGAGTTCTCGATTGTGTGTCGAAAGTGAACCCGACTGTACTACCGGGACCCTTAATGTTTATACTCTTTAACATTGTCTCAGTTTATAGGAAATTTGGTGTCAAAATATTCCCAAATGAATTTGCTACAGTATAGACCCCCATACAAAAAGTTTTAATAATAGATCATGATTGATGGTGAAGATATATAAATTTTTATGAACATTTCAACATTCCTAATACATTTGTTAACATTCTTCATCAATTTTGCAACATAAAAAAAATATGAAAATGTTTACACATGATCAGTCTGAATCACCGTAAAAAAAAAAAATAACTTTCATACTTTTCCAGCAGGTAATTTGCAAAGCATAGTGCAATTTTCACAAATGGAGCAAGTAGAGTATCATGTTGAATGATACAGGAGGTAGTTGGTCCAGGTGATCTCTGTGGATGGTCCCCTGATACTTGTGCTAGTTCCCTGATAAGCTATTCATGCATTGTGCTCAACAAAATTAAAAATAAAAAATAAACTAAAGTGACTTTTGCTGAACGTTAAGTGTAGGCAAACAGATGATGTGTTTTTGCGTCATTTAATTATAACACTTCAGCATTCTGATAAGTACATAAATTCAACGTAGTAACTTAAAACCGAAACTAGAATAAAATGATTTTGGTTATTTGCTGATAACAAACATGAAAAATACTCACTTTAGAGTGTAGACAGTGCAAACTGTCTTCTAGTCACCAACTTCCTAAAAGAATCCCAGTTATGGAGAGGAGTCATCTGGCATTAGATGTGTGTAAGCTTGCAAACAAGAGACGGCAAAGGAGGCCGTCTTTCTTACTTGAGGCACAATGTCGCTCTCCAAGTTAATGAGGTCACAAATCAGCTTGTGTTGACCTTCAAATTGTTTCGATATCAAAGGGCACAGCTTTGCTAGGTATCCTATAAAGGTACACAGTCTGGCTCTCACAAGAGCTACTTTGTGGGTAATCAGTGTGCCCAAGAGGAGAATCACTGAATCATTTGTGCCAATAATTTGTTCAACTACCGATTTGTTTTCTGGCATTAACCTTAAAATCTGATTCAAAATAGCTAGCATATCTGCAACCAAATCTGGAAGAACATTATCTAGAGTAAGTATTTTACCAATAACTTTGCTGGCATTCAATACACAAACACAATCACAAAATTGTAAAAGAAAATCTGTTTCCAGATGAACTAGGTGGCAAATCACCATAGTAAGCTGACCCATTGTATCAATTTGGTCTTTGTCAAATTCAACTGTTCTATTAACTTTGTGAGTTTCTACCTTGAATATTAATTTGCAAGAATATATCAAATTTGGAACTAGTTTACACTCCAGATACACTTTTATCACATCTGTAATAGTAGGCTTCATTTCCTCCATGGTAAATGGTAGGAACAGCAAAGTTGCTATTTTGTTTGTAACTTGAACAGGGCACGTTTGATTTCGGAGTGGAGAGATGAAGAGTGATAATTCACTTTGCTCTAGGAATATGCTATAGTTTCCATTTAGAGTATCGGCAATAGTTTTATCCAAAAACCTGCACCATTCTTCGGTTTCAATCCGCTTATCATCAGAGTTAAAACTATGCAGAGTGAAAACCGCTGCACTACTAGTCTTGCCACTCATTACTGTTAAAACTCTGTCCTGGGTAAAAGGAGTGAAGCTTTCTTCATTTATGTTTGGCAAGCTTGGTCGCCCGTCTTGAATTAACTCCAGCATTCCATTGGAGGGCCTACTTCCACGTCTAGAAGAGTCAATGGAGTTTGCCAAATAATTGACCATACTATCTTTGCGGTCTTCTAGAGGCAAGGGGCCATACAACTGGAAGTCTTTTACATCCTCTTCCTTGAATCCAGGTTCCTCTGACAACCTGCTTAGCTTTCGAACAGATGCACCAATCACACATCTAGCATCAGTTTCTAAGTCCTCTATGCCAGCAACTTTGGGTACTGATTCTACAGATAATGCACTTCTGTGAACTTCTACCTCTACAACAGTTGTGTGCATGTCATTAGCAGTTACTAAATCTTCTGTGCTTTGAGCCATTTCCTCACTTGAGCTTGACACGTTGATTTGGATCATTTTCTCTCTCTCTCGACGTCGTACTGGGTGTGGAGAAGGGGATCTGCTTTCAGACCCCTTAGAGCTGCACACACCTGTTTCAAGACAAATCTCTGACAGTTTCTTCAAAGTATCTGCATCTATTTGTAGTAGAGTGCCATTTTCTTCTCTCTCATCCTGACTCTGTATGCTCCTACCTACTGATGGCACTACTGCCAAACTAACTCCTGTTGTACCAGGTAAGCTTGATGCTGGTTTAGAACTTGATTGGGTCTCATCTGTTTTTGTGGGAGATGCAACATTTATTATTACAGGTTTCCCTATCATTCTTGTCTGGCCAGCAGCTCGCTGTACAAGCTCTTTACACTGTTGTTCCTTGACTTGCTGTTGAGATAATGTTAGGGGATTTGTGAGAGGTATGCCACTTAGAGACTGTTGAACAAACACCAGCCCCTCATGAACCCAGGGATGCTCAAGCAAAGAGGGCCAAGTTAACCTCTTTCCTGGATCTTTTTCAAGCAATCCATGAAGAAAGCCGGAACAACTCTCACTTAATCCGCGTGGCCATGACACTGGCTCTGTCCTTACCATTTTGATAAGCTGAACAATTGATGTTGTACAAAATGGTGGTCTTCCTGTCAGAAGCTCATAGAGAATGCATCCTAAAGACCAAAGATCAGCATTATGATCATATGGTTGTTCTTCAATGAGTTCTGGTGCCATATATAATGGTGTACCTTTTACCGAGGTAAGTACGTATGTGTTAATCCCCATTTTCCTAGAGAACCCAAAATCACAAAGTTTTGCTTCACCAGTCAATGACAAAAGAATATTTTGAGGTTTTATATCTCTGTGAAGAATTCGATGGGAGTGTAAATAATATATGGCAGAGACCAAGTTGCATGCAATCTGCCGAACTCTCTCTTCTTCCAACGGCCCATTAGATTCTAAAAGCTTAAAGAGTTGCCCAGGAACATATTCGCTGACAGCCACAACTTCATTTTCGGTTTCAAACGAATCAATCATTCGAACAATGTTTGGATGTGCTAGACCTCGTTGAATCTCACATTCACGTCGCAAGCTCTTCAACTCTCTCTCTATTTTGTTTCTTTTGGGTATAAATTTCAGTGCTACTATTTGTCCATTGACTAAACTCTTTCCTCGGAAGACTCTGCCAAAGGACCCCTGACCAATAGCTTCCAAAACTTTATACGTGTCCATTCTGTGAGTCAAATCACAACCTGCAAGATACAAATATAATAAGCTATAACAATAAATTTAATTACACAAAGAAGTCACACTAACTTGGAGCAATGCGGTGATTCAGACTAGCATTTTGGGTACTCCCAGCTGTGCTTCTTACCCCTGTACCATGACATGGTGTAAGTTGTACAATCTGGGATTCCAATGAATCCAAGTATGGTAAATTAATGCTTTCCCTACACCAGAATGCAATGGGTGTTATATGAAATACTTGGACCATCCTCAGTAGGGGCCCCTCCAGACTTACTGTGAATTCAGTGGAATACTAGGGTGAATAACTTGTATAATATCCTAGTACAGTGGTAAGGGGTGTGGATGGGAGTATCTAGATCACTGGTTTGAGGCACTGCATTGGTTCAATTTATTTTCTCATTAAACTTTGAGTGATACAACAAAAAATAAAATATTTTTATTTTGTATTCAAATTACTGTATTTAAATATTTACATTGAAAAAATGGGAAGGAAACAAGGTATTGCACGATTCAGTAAATTGTCACAGAAGCTATTAAGAATAATAAATAATAATTTGTTTAGTCAGGGACAAGCAGAGTGTATGTAAACATGAACCTTGTTTAACATTGCCCAAGATAACATTATTTTGTTTTGTTTTTAGAAAAAATATATTTAACATCAGACAGGCAAACAGTTTTGTTTTTGTTGTTATTTTTAACGTTTCTAACGTAGAATAGAACATATTATGTGGAAGCCTACGGTTCTTATAGAAAGCACAATACAGTACTGTATATGAGGGCTACCTTAAATATTTAAAAATCACTATTTATACTGTTTTAAAACTAAACTTAAGGTTTACTGAAAATAACAACACAACATTCAGTAGTGTACATAAACAAAAATAAAAATAATATAGTGTATAATACAACCAATTGGCTATGTTAATAAACTATGAAGTGAAATTTTGCTGCTGCTGAAACTAATGCATCATACCATAGGAAACTAATGCATCGTAGAAGGGGCCCCCTACTGATCATGGATATAAACAAAAACCCAGCATTGAATGTAATAAAACCCCAATTTCTGGAGGAGCGCCAGTGGGTTCCCTAAAGTTATCTTCCCAAGATGGCGTCATACAAAAAGGTGACGTTAGTTACGGATAATTCTGTTTGGCATACTGGGGACCAGAGCCAGAACTTGGGCCTCCAGCATAAGACGTGCAGGGCAATGGTGAAAATCCACCACCTGGCCAGAAAAAGCCTCCAGAAAGTCAGCACAGCTTTACAAACAACTGGAGGCTTCACTGAAAATGAAGCCTCAAAATCCAACAAACAACTACTGTAAACAAGTCACACAAAGGGATTCACTGAAACAAGCTTGAAACTCGGTAGTAAGGATTACCACTACCAGGTGCTCTGACCCCAGCTCCCCAAGTCAGTTCTGGACCTGATAAGCAAATCAACTATGGACTGATGAACCTGAAGGGTGGCAGGACAACCGTGGACATCTTCAAGAGAAAACTGGACTGTTTTCTAAGAGAAGTTCCGGATCAGCCGGGCTGTAGTGGGTATGTGGGCCTGCGGGCCGCTCCAAGCAACAGCCTGGTGGACCAAACTCTCACAAGTCGAGCCTGGCCTCAGGCCGGGCTTGGGGAGTAGAAGAACTCCCAGAACTCCATCAAACAGGTATCAAGCAGGGAGCTACCTGGGCTCCTTCAGAAATTGACGTTTCATTACATTCAACACGGCTTCTGGAGGGAGCCCCTTGTGGCTATCTGAAGCTAACTAGCCACAGAGAACAAGGTTACTTACCAGGAAGGAGAAAGGTGGCAGGCACTTAAAGAAGGGACACCAGGCTGGGCAACACAGCCCTAAGCCACACACGATTGAATAGGCCCAGGAACATTAACCAAATACTGAGCTGCCAGCACTCTTGCTAGAATGCCAAAACCCCAGAGCCTGAATATCAGCCCAGGACATATTGGAGACGATGGCGGCCAAAGCTGCATATTTATAAACATCATGGCCCAAGAGAAGTCTAGCAGCAGGCTGGCTAGACTTTAAAACACTGCAGACAAGCTGAGAAAGGCAAGCCTTGGAATAGTGAACCAAGGAAATGGGATCAACCAACAAGGCATCCACCAAGATAGAACCAGTAGCAAGTAGGTAATGGCAAAGAGCTGCCACAGGACACAACAAATAAAGCACCCTTGGCTGAACCAATCAAGCATTGATCACCTAACCACTCTGGAACCTCATCAACCCATTCTTCCCCAGAAGAGGAGACGGCTGCAAAAAGAAACTGCCCGCCAGTGCCAAAAGAACAAAACCTCTGCCTCTGGAGAAGAGCCCAAATGAACAAATCCACAAGGGCCGTGACGAGGGTTCGAACCTACGTCCGAGAGCATCCCAGACGCTGCCTTAAATGACTGAGCTATGACATGGTAAAAGAATTGCAACCAGAAGTTCTACTGACTTTACTTGGACCCTGCAGCCTCTCCGAGACACAAACCAGGATTTTACGCAATTTCCCCATGCACTCGAGCTTGGTCAATAGGCTGTTCTACCTCTTCGCCCTTACTTCATTACACACAGAAATCACAATAGCGTGATGCATCAAATGAACATGGATTTGTTCATTTGATGCATCATGTTATTGTGATTTTTGTGTGTAAAAGCCCAAAGCTTCCGAACCAAACAGCTGTGATAGAGCACCAACAAGAAAACTGCCTAAGAAAAACGTCACAAGCTGAAGAGGAACCATAAACAGTGGTGAGGAAAGAAACCCAAAAATATGATCAAAGGACCAGTATGGCTCAGGAGGAGCACAAGACTGGAGGAGGAAAAATGCACAAAACAACTTGTGAGATGGTGTCACGGAGGTGTCGACACTGAACACCAGCACTACAATATCTGAACAATAAGATGTTACAGCTTTCGCTTTCACTTTCACGACCAAAGGGTTTGGTAAGGGTGGGTGGGGGTAAAGAGGATAAGGATGGAAATTCAGGAAAATCATGAGGGTCAAGTATGAGTAGGATGGAAAGTGTAGTGGCCTATCCACCTTGGCTTGGTAGTGTTTGTGTTGCTTTCAAGTAAATGGTGCATGTTGGCAATTTATTGGTAAGGCTATTGGGCTGTCTGGTGGAGGCAGACTTCTATGGCAAGCAGGAGGTGGGCTGTATGTGGGGCTGGTGAAGTTAAGCTTCACCTAGGACACTCTCCCAACTATTGGTCTTTCTGCACTGGTTGCCCATGGTATGATGTTTGTACGTTTTTTTAGTGAAAATTGGTTCACGGTGTCAGGTTCAATCTGAATGGAAGAACAAGAAAATGAAACAGATACCATTCAACAAAACAGAGCCACTTCATAAACCTTGGGTGAAATGTGACAAATTAGTACACACCCATAGGTCCAGGGACACTATCCAAGAGCCTCAGGACAGAACCAGGTGCACTTGACAAAGATGGTCATATGGAATGTTGGACAGAGAACAAATACTGTATGTTCAACGGTGAGAGGTCAAGAATGAACTCTGACGAATCTCGCTTGGACACCCAATGTATGGAAGACACCCCCTTGACCAACTATGCATGACCCTGCAGAGTAGTGGAGTAAATGACTGAGGCTGGAGTAGATGGCCGAGGCTGGCCCCATGACACCAATGGGGAGGGTGTGAAGCCCATCCCAACTGAAGGCCCTGAGACACCACATGTAAAGCCTAGGCATCCAAAGTAAAATCCCTGGAGAAATTGCACAGCTGTCCCCACCACACTATCATGGGGCATCCCACAAAAAATTAAAGCTCAAGTTAGCCACACTTCTTTGGACTTTCTGGGACGGTTAGGGTAATGTTAATAAGTTCCTCGCCTGCCGTGCTGACGGTGGGGGCAGCTCATGCCAGACCTCCTCCCCCCCCACTTTCTCCCATCATGCATACAAAAATGTACACCTCTATTATAATTAGTCTGCTGCATAGCCTGTTATCTCTAGCTTCGTGAAAATGTCGGTGCATGACTTCAAACAAAGGGTATAACCTGTATGACTCCGAACCTTCAGGCATTATCTCCCAAGTGTTACACTTCATGTTCACTCAGAGACAGTCACACAGGTTTGTTAGAAGAACAGAACTTAAATATTACTATAACATCATTACCTTCAAAAATATGCAGATAACACGCTCGTCGGTGTCAGTTTTAGTCTTCGCTCAACGTTATACAAAGCCTCCCGCTCAAGGTTTTGCATTATGTGGTTTGTCACTGCAGGAAACCAGTCATTCTTTCCAGTTAGGTTTAACCGGCATTACTGTTCAAATTTTGTATAAGGTCTTTTACTAGGGTCGAGTAGTTCTTCTTCTTCTTGATAGTAAGTGCAGTTTGCATCAAAGGTTTATCCTCCCGATGACCGCAGTACAAATGTTGGGAGACGCGTTTATGTTGAGAAGGATAAGAGTTTCAAAAAGTGTTTGTTGCGTTGTGTAGATACAGAAGCAGCGACTGAAACAGAGGCACATATGTTAGAGGGAGACTTGCCACACCGTAGGGCAAGATTCAAATTCAAATATTTATTTAGGTAAAATACATACATACAAGGGGTGATACAAAAATTGATAGATTTATAGATAGAGCTAGTACATACAATGTCTAAAGCCACTATTACGCAAAGTGTTTCAGGCAGGAAAAACACTAAAGACTAAAGATGTTGTGTTTATGTTGTCACATGTTTATTTATGTGTTTATGACACTAAAGATGTTGTGTTTATGGCGTCACATGTTTATTTATGTGTTTATGACACTAAAGATGTTGTGTTTATGGCGTCACATGTTTATTTATGTGTTTATGACACTAAAGATGTGTTTATGGCGTCACATGTTTATTTATGTGTTTAGGACACTAAAGATGTGTTTATGGCGTCAGCTGCAGTGAGGCAGATGTTTTCATGTTTGGCTGCTGGTGGTGCCAGGTATAAATGTCACACAGGTCAAATATGACCCAATTTATTGGTCGACTGGAGATATTTAGCCAGTGCTTTGACTATTTGATATTTTTCCTGTAACGAGAGGTCACCTCCTAACATACATGCTCGATGGTAAAGGGTATTTAAAGTGCGATAAATACTTGTTTGATATTTACTCTGGCACTATGATGTCGGAAGCAGTGAAGGAGATAGTGTTCGATAGCTTCAGGCACCTGACAGTGGCTGCAGAGTTCGTTAATATTCTGTTCTGTATTTAGAGCTGTGTGCTGCCACAGTTTGGAACTGGTCGAGTAGTTCCCGTTGTTTGTTGTGACGGCGTCGGGGCCTCGGTTGTGGTCTTGATCGCCGTGTACATTTTCTTTGATTGGTGGATTTGGGTAAACTTAATTTGATTTAATACAATACAATACAATTTTATTTAGGTAAGGTACATACATACAATAAATATTTACAAGGATTGTTTAACTTATAGGTATAGCTAGTACATACAATGCCTAAAGCCACTATTACGCAAAGCGTTTCGGGCATGATAAACTTAAATGACAAGCTTAATACTAATTGAGCATAATGAGTAGAATGAAAACAAGAAATGAAAACATAGATGAAAAAGCAGCACAAATACAATTATGTCGACAAACAGCGCTCTTTAAAGAAAAAAACAGACATTGGTTGACAATAGAAGGGTAAGGTAGGTTACAGGGAATTTATTAGGTATAGCTTCGCTTTTATTTTATTTATTTTATTTGTTTATATATATATATATATATATATATATATATATATATATATATATATATATATATATATATATATATATATCCAAGAAGGTACATTGGGTTTGTGAGAATACATAGCATGGTGTTAACATTCTTGTAAAGCCACTAGAATTTTTTATTTATTTATATATACATTTATTTATATATACAAATACAATATATTTATTTATTTATATATACAAGAATTTAAAAACTCTAAATCTAAATTTAGAGTTCTAAGAGTTCTTACATTCTTGTACAGCCACTAGCAGGCATAGCGTTTCGTGCAGGTCCTTAATCCTAATTTTCACACACACATTAATTATAATAATAATGTTTATTCAGGTTATTCAGATAAGTCACTTCCTTGTTATCAGTAGTCGTTTTTGCAAGTTTTTTGGCATTGCTTTAAGATAGTGTTTTTTCCTGCCCGAAACGCTTTGCGTAATAGTGGCTTTAGGCATGAAATAGTGCTGTGACGATTGAGTGTGGTTAGAAACTTTAATTACAAAACTGTGTGACTATACAAAGTGTAAGGGCACTGGTGTGGCACGCTCTGTTAGGCCTAGCATCTCGCCCGGCCAGGGAATGAGGATATGGTGCCAGAAACACCTTCATGATCAACATGCTTCTTGCACATCTCTCCGCCAGCTCTCAAGTACTACGGTTTGTTGCCTGTGTATGTCAAGTTTTTGTCGAGTGTTAAGTATCTGTTAAGCAGATACTTATGCATGTACCACCAACTTCAATTTTTTTTTTCCGCGCCAACCTGCAAGGTGCGCTGTGACCTTGAAAATAGTGGAGCCTCATATATGCAGGCTGGCCGATTTATTTCTGCTGATGTTGTTTGATGGTTGGCGGCCCCTTCCACCCTGTGAATATGCCATTTGCTGATGTGCTGCTTTGTGGTTCACTGTGGAGCGAGTGTACCGTAATACTCTGCATATAAGTGTTGTGTCTTTAACGCCATGGCAACTGCCCTGGATAAGGTGCCGGGCAGCACATCACCGTTGCCAGATAGTGACTTTGTGGACCCATCGCACGCTCGTCAATTGTTTTCTAATGATGGTGCCACCTCCTCAGTGGTGCCCCACGACACATCAGAAGGCGGTGCAGATGATGAGGGATTCACGGTGCAAATGAGTAAAAGTCAGCGCCGTAAGCAGTTGAGAAGGGCACGATCAAACCCACCAAATTCGGCTGCTGTCAGACATGTGCGACTAGATTTTCCTCTGGGAACCACAGTAGAGAGAAAAGTGAAGTGGTTTTGTGAAGCTTCTGAGGCACATTATGATAAGGTCATTAAGTTACCTAGAGATGAAAGTGACTATGTCTTCGTTACAAACGATAGTGCTTTTGTAAATGTGTTGCTAAACACAGAGTATGCAGGCATTAAAATGAAAAATGCAGCACCTAGGCGTCCAAAAGTAAGCATTGTCATATTCAATGTTAATAAACTCATTAAGCCTGAATATCTTTGTGATGAAAATATTGTAAACTCTAAACGTCTGAGAAATGGACTCATAGCTGCCACATGGAAAGGTGCCACGCCTATACCGGACAGAATTTACTCTAGAGCAGCTTTAGGTCGGCACTATAACATTGCACTCTACAACCCTCCCCCTCGTAGGTGTTATAAGTGTCAACGATGGGGACGTCACGTAGCCAGGTACTGCACAAGCAAAAACTTTTTCTGTGCCGTGTGTGGTGAACCTCATAAATCTGAGGTGTGTTTTAAACTCATAAAGGAACTGCAGTCAGTAAGTGAAAAATGCATAAACTGTGGCAGGAGCGGTGTTCAAGTCTGGCACCTTGACTGTGTCAAGCGACCAGCTGCTTACGGCCAGGTGCCCGGCCCCGCCCACCCGGGAGGACGGTTGCCAAGTACAGCTGCCGGCTCTAATTCCTGTGCAGAGCCACCTGGACGTAGTGTTCGTAGCAGCTGGATACCAAATACTTCACCATCTGCCAAGCACCAAGTGCATCACGGGACCAGACGACAGGTGTCTGTTCAACCTGCGTCTGCCCGTCAGGTGCCAGGAACCTGCCTCCCGGAGGTGTTGACACAACACTCGCCATACCCTTCACACCACCATGAGCAGTTGCCAAGTGCTGCAATCAGTCCCATTCGCTGTTCAGAGTCATCTGGAGGTGATGTTCGCTCCAGCTGGCTGCCAAACTCACCACCTTTAAATTACGAAGTGCACAAGGGGACCGGTACCAGACCGAAGACTCGTGCCATCATCCCAGCTCCCCCACAAGAACCAGGTGCTGCATCTTCTGCCAGTGGTGGGCCTTCCCCTGATGTAGAGTGGCCACTTCCTGGTTCTGGGATAATGTCACCTGCTGTGAGACCACCATCCACAGCTGGACCCCACAGTCAACTGGAAGTGGGGGATAAGGAACTGGATCAAAATGAGACACATCGCAACCTCAGCCTCCCTACCACCTCGCCCTTGGGTCGCTCCACTGTTCAAGCAGTGGTTGCCCTTCGTGACCGGTTGCAGGAACACCAGCAGCATTCACAGCAGCAAACGGAGCGGCTGCAAGAGCAACTCCAACATGAGAAAAAATCCACCAGCGATATTTCGATGATGCTCACGCGTATGAGGGGACTTGTAAGCAATGACTGCCAAACTTCCCCTTCCACCCCTGAACCCTCCAAACATGTGTTCGCTTGCCTATCAGGGGAAACTTCTAGTGATCTTGAAACCTTGTGTAGTGGAACCCTTCCACGCAAGTTAACTGCCAAAGTTGTGCTAAACTATGTTCAAAACGACTCTATAGCTGGAAATGACAGACAAATTGTACTAGATCATTGGATGCAAATGTGTGACATTGGTAATAAACTAAGAAATGTTCCTGGACTTATACAGTAGTGCAATAGATAATATGTATATAGATAATAAATATTAAGTGAACTAATAATATCAATATATAATGCTGACTTTAAATGCACAAATAACTAAGTTATCCGTCCTTAGCTGGAACATTGCATCCCTCAAAAAAAGGTTCTCAGATTTACATCACAAAGTAACAACTGAACACATCGATATTGTATGTCTCCAGGAGTGCAGAGTTCCCGCAAGATCCTCACCCCCGAAATTGCCCTCATTTGTTTCTTACAACCTCAGATCCAGTAACTCTTGCATTATATACATCAAACAATCCCTACCCCATCAACTTCTGCCAGAAAAACAAACTGCCGGTCAACAGTATCATGGAGTGAGGATCTATGTGGGCAACTCTGTTCTCAATGTATTTAATCTATATGCTCCAGCAGGAAAGTTAAATTATATTGATCTTCCGGCCTGCGCTCAAGCAGAGCCCACCATCATTCTTGGTGACTACAATGCTAGACACAAGGACATTGGTGGCTCTCGCTTCAGTAACGGTAACGGGAATCAACTGCTGTCGCTACTAAATAGTCACCAAGATGTGCAGATTGTGGGTGACCTTGAACCCACGCATATTTGTGGAGGCATTCTAGACCTCTGTGTTGGTTTCAACGTCTCTCACGTCTGGTGCACATCATCTATTGTAACAGATTTGTTGTCAGATCATCACCCTAGATTGACTACTCTATGTATAGGAAATACCATCCTGCCCGGTGGGACTTTCAAACGCAAACGGCTCAGTGTTCCTCCTGCTCGACGTGAAGACTTTGTTGCTCATGTGTCAGAGTGGTACAGCACTTATGATCCCTCCACAGTCCAGACATTTAACGACGGTCTAGTACAGAGCATTCAGATGTTTGTTGACCCTTTAGGTCGGCCCCCTGCACCATCCAATAGTCGCAACGATATGAAAGGTAATAAACGCCATGCCTATTACAATGACCCCAAACTGCGTACTTTGAAACGCACTGCCAGACGAGTTGGGCTTGCATATAGGGAAACACGTACGCCAGCAATGCTCAAGCTCTTTCAGAAAGCCCTAGCCAAGGCGAGGGAGCGCATGACAGAGCTCAGGCAAGATAACTGGGAAACTTTTGTTAACAGTCTCAACTCTCACACCCCCCTCAGCCAGGCATGGAAGGATATTAAAAGAATTAAAGGCGATAAGCTCGGCCAAGTAGCACACCCTCACCCTCTACACAGAGCAAACGAGTTAGTCGATGCTTGGGCAACCACCTCTAGCTTCAATAATCTTCCCCCAGACATACAGTTCAGATTAAATGCTGGTTACGGAGATCGAGAAAGGCTCGTTGACTTCATGCTCCACAAGGAAGATGAATGCAACGTGCCATTTACTGAGTTTGAATTACTCGCGGCCCTAAACAAAGGCAAAGCCACATCCCCCGGTGAAGATGGTATCACTTATGACATATTGCGTCTGCTCCCTTTAGTACCAGGGAATCCCCTACTTGAGCTGTATAATATGAGCTATGTTACTGGGGAACTTCCTAACTCTTGGACCAACAGTATAATCATTCCAATTCCCAAGCCAAATCAAGAGAATGCTTTCCGCCCAATTTCCCTTACTAGCTGCATTTGCAAAACATTCGAGAGAATGGTCCTAAACCGTCTCCTCCATCGAATAAGAACCATGCT